TGGATTCAGGAGTACCTGAGTTCAAATCCAGCCTCAAACACATAACACTTAACTAGCTATGTGACCCTGGGCAAGTCACTTAACCCCATTGCTTAGCCAAAAAAGAAAAAAGAAAGAAAGAAAAGAAAGAAAGAAAGAAAGAAAGAAAGAAAGAAAGAAAGAAAAGAAAGAAAGAAAGAAAAAAGAAAGAAAGAAAGAAGAAAAAGGAAGGAAGGAAGGAAGGAAGGAAGAAGAAAGAAAGAAAGAAAGAAAAGAAAGAAAGAAAGAAAAAGAAAGAAAGAAAGAAAGAAAGAAAGAAAGAAAGAAAGAAAGAAGGAAGGAAGGAAGGAAGGAAAGGAAGAAGGAAGGAAGGAAGGAAGGAAGGAAGGAAGAAAGGAAGGAAGGAAGGAAGGAAGGAAGGAAGGAAGGAAGAAGAAGAAAGAAAGAAAGAAAGAAAGAAAGAAAGAAAGAAAGAAAGAAAGAGAAAGAAAGAAGAAAGAAGAAAACCCCAAATGGTGTCACAAAGCATTGCGCATGACTGAGAAGTGACTGCTCATCAACTAAACAACATCCAAAAAGAAGACAGTCTGGAGATACCAACTCCAAACGGACCCTTCTTTCTAGGACCTTCACTTTCTAATGGGAAAGAGAGTATACTGATATGCATAAAGAAATAATTCTTGTGCTGTATTACTGACCACTGTGGAAAGGAAGTTACTTTGTAAACTATAAAGCACTATATAAATGAGCTGCAACTATTATGATTATTGATCATTATTCTAATTATTAAATCAGAACCAGCGTTGCCTAGTGGATAGCGAGGCAGCCTTAGACTCATTTTCCACCTCTACCACACAACCTGTTAGTGTGGTCTGAAAAAAATCTCTTAACCCCACAGTGTCCCCCAGGCTACTCTCTAAGAATCTGAACTACATTCCAAGCAGTTGTCACTGGGAAGTTTTCTGTACTAATGAAATCATGGGCTGGTCTTTAGAAAAAAAAAAAAAAAGGTCTGAATGAGTAACTAACTATTCACCCAGCTTTGTTACTCCTAAACTCTAGAGGCTGGCCCTGGGCTGGTGGGGTGAGGGGGAGGGTGATGGTGGTGGTGGCAGTGATAGGAGAGGCAGAGAGTGTTGGCGGTTTCATCTGCGGTCGCGGTTAGAAGTGAGCTCTTCTCTCCCAGGGGAGGCGTCTGTGTTTCTTAATCTTTGTTTGTTTCTCTCCCAGCCTGGATTGGAGACAAACGAGGCAAGGCCACAGCTTGCCCCAGCAGACAAGGTGAGACAGTGGTGGGCTCTGGCAGCAGGAGGGGCACTCAGGTGACCAGACAGCATGAGGTGGCTGCTGCCTGCCGGCTTCCAGGGGGAAAGGGCATTTTCAAAGTCAATAGTTCAGGGCTCAGGACCTGCCCCAGGGAGACTCCCTTTCATTTCTCCAGTTATCTGGAAACTGAGACTCTGAGATGAGATATCCAGGAGAGAGGATCATAGGACTTTGCTTCTTCCACGAAAAACCAGTCACCCCACACCTTCCCCCATTCCTAACTTTGTGATTCAGCAATTCAGCTTCTTCCTTCTTTACCTGACAGCCTAGGTCAGACATAGAGAGCCTTTTGGTGCTGAGGGACAATTCTGCTAGTGACTAGTCCCTAGCTTGAAGGCTTAGTTTCTACCCTGTGGGTTTGAGAGCACAGTGAGGTCTGAACAGGCATGAAGACAAGATCCCCTCTCTAAAGCTCTTCTCTTCATTCTCTGAACTTAGAGCCTGACCTGAAAGATCCCAATCCCTGGGAGCAGAGGGGAACCTTCCAGGTGACAGGTTTGCCTAACTCCCAGTATCACAAGGCAGGCCTAAACTTCAAGGGGTCTCTTTAGAAACAAATGAAACACTCAGATAATGAAAACTCAGCTTAACATTATCCTGAAATCTCAAATCAACAACTATTTATTGATCTTTTGTATTGTAGATTAACATGAAGTGACTAGGAAATCTGTGCTAGTCCCCATTCCACAGGAGACAGCCAGGGTCAACCTGGACCTTGAGACAATGTGTTCTCTCTCTTTCACATACATACACACACACACACACACACACCTCCTTACCCCCTTTATCCCCTCTCACTTACTCACACACATGCCATTGCCCTCTTCCCCTACCCAAACTTGTTGTATTCCCCATTCTTCCACATAATACCCTGTGCCCCTCTCTTGTTCGTCTTTTCCCCACCCTGGCCCACTTCTACCCCCTCATTCCCAGCTTCAAAGAAGGAAATCAGAATGGAGCACTGGTCACTGCCCTGCCCTGCCCTCTGTCCTGGAACTCAAAGATCAAGGCCTCCACTAATGCAGCCCCTAAAACTTGAGCAAACACCTCCAATCTGTCTCAAGAGGCAAAGGATAAGTGTTGTGCCAGCCCCCATCTGACTCCAGAGGTTGGAGGAGGGGACTGATCCAGCCAAAACTCTAGGGTGGGAGGTCAGGGCAGGAGCAGTGACATAGTAGAGAGCCAGTTTCTCTGCTGAGACACTGGAAGGGATGTTGGGGTTGACCGGAGGATCAAGTGTGCTAACTCAGAGTGGAACCTACCTCTTCTGCTGAAGCATGTTGGCCTCATCCAGGCTCTGGGTCCATATCTGCTCTCTAAGCATCCAGCTTCTGAGAAGCTCCCTAAGGTGAGTCCAAGCTCCCCTCATCTTGAATGGAGGACCCCCCATGTCCCTTTTGTTCAGAACCAAAAGCTTGAGGGAATGTCCCAGGGAGAATGGACCAGGAAGCTCTGGGGGCACCAGAGCTACTGGTGGGTGCCAAGGACCGGGTCAGGGGCCTCTGATCAGTGTGCCTATATAGGATGAGTTCAGGGTAAGGAGACTGCAGCTGTACAGCCGGGAGAGGAGGAGGGAGGAGCCAGAGCTCTTTATAGGGCTGAGCCCCCAGTGCCCAGAACCCAGCCCTACACCTGAGGCAATTGAGGAGGGAGAGGGAGGGGATCTGGTGTACTGACAAGGATAGAGAGAATGGGGGAGGGGGATGGTAACAGTGGGGAGGGACAGACCTAGGCTAGGACTGAGTGGCAGGCATCAGGAAAGATAGACAAGATTAAGAAAAAGAAGCAGTGGACCGTCAGAGGATTTAACCCAACTCCCTCTCACCTGGTATCATCTTTGCTCCCACCTCATCCCCTTTGCCCCTGCCTCCTACTGTCGACTTTGCTCCACTCCTCTCAAATGCTTTTCCTCTATTAATCCCACTCCTTTCTCCTGAGTCAGAATTCAGCTCTGGTTTTGTTACTTGTTACCTGCAATCCAAGACAGGTTATTTCAACAGTCTCTGCTTGAATTTCCTGGAAAATGAAGGGGTCAGACTAGATAATCATTAAAATCCTTTCCAGGTCTGAGTCTCTAAGCCTATGCTTTTTTTTTCTTCTTTCCTGTCTCAACCTCTAGTCCTTTGAGAGCAAGACCTGGTCTAGATCACTCTTTCACATGCCTAGAATAGGAGGGAGACAGTACCTACCCCTTTCCCTGCCAAGGAGTGGAGTTACCCAGACATGACAAGAAGTTCAGGCAAGGTCAAAGGGTAAGAGCTGAGTTAGAGAAGGAATTCAACAAATATTTATAAAGCACCTACTAGATACACAGCTATGCCAGCTATCCTGAATTCAGTGACAAAAATGGAATAGCCCCTGTCCATGAGAAACTTACATTCTATTGGAATAGAAGCATGGGGCTTAGAGCTTAACGAGGTATTAGAGATTAATTGTTTTATAGATTAGGTAACACTAAGAGTAAGGAAGGTGAAATGACTTGTCCAAACTCACACACACACACACACACACACACACACACACACACACACACACACACACACACGGCAGAACTAGGATTTGAACCCGGATCCTCTGACTCCACATTCTCTTTTCCATTGTACCAGGAGTCTTGATCGCTAATGGCAACAGAAGGAGGGGTTGAAGTTAAACCCTACTATGTCATTTTGCCATAATAACACCTTGCACATGGGTAACTTTTTGACCTTTTCAAAGCATGGTTAGATCTATAATTTTATTCTAACAACAATCTTGTGGATGGTATGTGAGGTTAGGGGGTGGGGTAGTGGTGGTGGTAAATGTTCACTGAAATTTCCAAATGTAAAAACAAGGGCACAGAGGTTAAGTGGCCTAAATGTTTGGCAGAACTGGGGAGAGCACCCTTGCTTTTTTGCCTCCCTTTTCAGGGTCCTTCTCATTGTATGGCTGATATGGAACTTTTGGACTGAAAATTGTGAGGCTTAATTATGGGAGTTGCAGAAAGCTAAGACATGTCCCAAGGAAGGCTTTATGACCAGGAGAATACCTATTGGTTACTCTGAAAAAGAGCTTCCTGATCCATTCACCCTAGGACATTCCCTCAAGCTTTTGGTTCTGAGGAGAAGGAACATGGGGTGGGGGCAGGGGTCCTCCACTCAAGAGGAGGGAAAGTTGGACTCACCTTAGCAGATATGGACCCAGAGCCTGGATGAGGCCAACATGCTTCAGCAGCACCAAAGATTACCCAATGACCTTTGGGGAGGTCATTAAAATTACAGGGGATTACTGAGGAGCTGAAAAGAGATCCAGATATCATGAGAGTGGGTGGGGACCTTAATGATTATCTAATTCAACTGCATCATTTGACATTGGAGAAATGTGAGGCCTGGAGGGGAGAACTGACTTTTGTGGATGAATATGTTGGTTACTCCTTCCTTGCCCATGCTCACTTCGGGTTTAGATGTTCTTTTATCCTTTTCTGTTTGAGAGAAGAAGGAGAAGAAAGGAAGGGTACCATGGGAAGACGGTCAAATTGGGGATCTTAGGACCTGAGATTGAATTTCCAGAAAAGGGACTTTGGGCATGTTACTTAAACTAACTTGGCCTCAGTTGTCTTATCTGTAAAATAAGGAGGTTGGCCTTTATAGTTCCTTCCACCTATACATCTGAGAAGCTTATGAGGAAGAAAAAGATTCTAGGGAGGAGATTATTGTAAGAATAATGATTGGTTTTCCTACCACTTCCCCACAGCTAATCACCTCTCTTGGAGGGTGAGGGGGTGGAGAGTAAGAAAGTAGGGGGTAGGCTCTGTGGGATTTTTTTCTACCTTGCTAAGGGCTGAAGCAATGTTGGGGATTAGTGAGTGGCTCTGTAACCTTAGGGACTGTCTGAGGAGATGGAGGGCCTGATAAGGTTGGGGAGGGTGGGTAGATGGATTGATAAGCAGCAGTAGGGAAAGGTAAGGATCCCCTGCCAAGGAAACAAGAGGCCCATAAAATTAATCCTAGAGGGGTTGCGAGAAAGTGGGAGGGGCAAGCTCACAAGGAGGCTGGCCAGGTTGGTCAGAGCCGCACAAGACAGGTGAACCAGGGGTTTGGGGCACTGAGGACATTATGATGTGGCTTTCCCGAAAGCCAGGGAGGCAGGAAAGGAGAATACCCATCATGCAAATCAGGATACTTGCCTCTTCTTTCTGGACAACTTGCTCTGACCTTCTGAGTGGCTCTGTGCTTATTTTCCTCTCTCTGCTTCCTCCTCTGTAAGGGGAGTGTGTGCATGTGAGGCAAAGGTGAGGTGTGTAGCCTTGGAACAACTCTGCCATGCCTCTCCAGAGTCTCATAAATGCTTCAGCTAGATGGCCATTTGAATAGAACCCCTGTTCTCTTTTTCCTGCTTTGCCCTTCTCGGTGGAAAGAATATCAGAACTGGAGTGAGTAGACTTAGATTGGAGTACCAGATTTGCCACTTATTGTGTGGGTAAATAATTTAGCTTCCCAGTTCTTAGGTTCTTTCTCTGTAAAATAGGAATGATGCTACTTAATAATACCTACCTCATAAGACTATTGTGAAAATGAAATGGTATATTATTCATAAAATGCTATATAAAGGTAAATTATTAGGATCAGTTCTTCTCCTCTCCACCTCGTAATTCTCTCCCTTTCTTTTCTTTTTTTCTCCTTATTCTCTCCTTCCACAGTCTTTTTTTTTTCTTTTTTGGTGACCGTTGTCTACGTACCTCCCAGGCCTTGGTTAGACATATTCTCCCTCACTGAATGCTGACCTTAATCATACCATCAAAGGATTTTAGAGATCATTTAGGTCAACACCTTTATTTTTACAGAGAGATCCCAGATCTAAGTGGCCTCTGCCCAAAGTCATTGGCAGGAAAGTAGTAGAGTGGTCAGATTTGGGTGGTCAGATTCTAACCCATTACCCTAGGGTCATTTGACCCCAGGGACATACTGTCCTGTGTCCTAGATGGGATGGGAAATGAGGTTGGGATGGGGGTGAAAGTGGGATATGTTGCTCTATCTTCTTCTCCTGCCCTTTCCACATCTGCTCAACTTGATACTATTCCTCTCTTCCCAAAGCAATAAGACTTCTTTTGTCTGCTTATAAGAAAAGTAAAGAAATAGGAAGTATGGAATTTTTAGTTTTGTCCCAAGGACTTTTTTTTTTGATTTATGTAATAAACATTTCCATACTCAACGTCTTCCTCTTTTGGGAAAATTAGGCAGATCTGAGGCAAAAGTTAGACTTCTTCTGTTTCTTGGGTGATCCCTCTTCTACTCAGATGGTGACACTGTCGACTGAGTGCTGGGCCTGACTTGAGGAAGGCCTGAACACACATCTGGCCTCAAACACTGACTAACTTTGTGGTTCTGAGCAGTCACTTAACTTCTGCCTACCTCAGTTTCCTCAATTCTAAAATGGAGATGACAGTCATACCTACTTCTCAGGATTGTTGCGAAGATCAAATGAAATAATATTTGTAAAAGTGCTTAGCACAGTGCCTATAGTAAGAGCTATATAACAGCCTATTTCTTTTCCCCTCCTTCCTCCTTCCCTTCCCCACTCCGATGCCCCACAAAAGCCCATAAGGAAACAAAATGCAGTCTCCTTCAGCCAGCATTTTGAAGGCCCCACCCCCCACTGCAGCCAGGAGGAGCCCCGAGTATTTTTCCACCCAGGCATCTGCTCCCTGTCGCGGCAGGGTCACTGGGTGCAGGGCTGGGGTTATCAGGGCCACATAGACACTCAGGTTTTATCCACCTTTCCCAGCAACCAGAAGTTACTCCTTCCACTCTCACCCAATCACCAAGCTATGGTTCCTTTTCCTTCCTTCTTTAATCTGGACACATATGGGGAGTGAGTCTCATGTGTGTGTTCAGGCATGTGTCTTTATTTCTGTGAACATCAGTATAGAGATGACTGCATGCGTGAGTCTAAGTACTTGCACATGAGCCAGGTGAATGATTTTTCTCCAAGAGTCCTACCTTGCGCAAATTGGTTGTGCTACTCCAGTTGTCAATAATATTCTTTGCCTAGGGTTGCCCTTCCTCTCAGACAACAGCATCTGCCGACCATCTAGTCTTTTCCAACCTAGACCCTAATCTTCTTCCCTGCCAAACCTCTACTCATGTTGATTTTCTAGGTGAGCTGGGACATCTGGAAGCAGATAATTAGCCACTGCTAATCACTGGTAACAGGCTGTCTGAGGGAGTGCTTAGGGATTGGAAGTCTCCCTGCAAAGTTCTGGGATAAATACCAATTCACAGGAGGCATGCTGCATTTCAGGCAAGGGAAGACTGTCTATAGACATTCCACAGTCCTACTAGGACAAGATCTAAGCCCTTCCTGCTTATAATTGCCCCCTTTTCACTCTTTCCCTTTTCCCTGTCATCCACTTTCCAAACCATGAACTCTTTGGAAAAGATCCAGGAGTATTGGCTTCTAAATATTTGTTCTCCAGGCCAACTGTGTTTTTCCTTCTTAGTTATGAGAATGTGAACTGAGAGATACTTCAAGAGAGGGTATCCTAGTCTGAACATCTGAGGATAAATCAATCCAGGAGAGGGCACAATATTTAATGGGAAAGCCAGAGATTAGGGATAAGGTCATAGGGGTTTGAATGAATGAAAGGGTAATGAGCCTTAAGTGAACTCAGAGTCCACTCCATATGCACAGACCAGGTGTGTTCCTCCCACCTTCTCCCCCATTGCCACCATCTAAGGCCTTTCTCTCAACTCTAAAGGATGTTTTATAAAGAGAGAACTGCTGAGTTAAGGATTCTGTGTCTTCTACTCTCCTGCTGAATCGCAGTTTTTCTAATCTTCCCTCCACCCCCAACTCCCACTAAAAACCAATAGAATGACTGAAGGAAGCCCCTTCTAGCTTTTTGATTCTGTAAGCCATCTGAAAAATTATGCTGTCCTTTGGTATCTATTCTCCTCTGTCCTTGCAAAGGGAAACCTGCTGTGCTGTTGGAATATGGGCCAGAGCTAAGGCTATGATATCATAGAGCCCATGAGGTCACAGATTCTTCAGACAGGAAAGTAAGGGTGTTGGGGAGGGGCAGGGGCAGGCCGCTGCTCCCTGAGCAGGTGGAGGCCCATAGGCAGAGGGCCAGTAAATGGGCAGATGACTTCTTTGGTCCCCAAGCTCCACCAGGCATTGCTCCTGGCTTGCCTCTTCCTGCTGCTGCTGCTGGTTCAAGGAGTGAAGCCACAGAGTGGGGACCCCAACGGGAATGGGAGGAGCCAAAAAGAAAAGAAGGCCTCCCTGACAGGTGAGGGGATAGGGGAATAGAGGGTTACTGTGGTAACCCTCGCTGCATCTCAGCCCAGGACTGGGATAAGTTAAAGGTCAGAGATGTGCTTGGGATAAGGGTTACTATCTGGACTGGGACAGAGGCAGCCTGGGTCCCTGTTATGGTAGTGTGGGAGCACTGTGTGTCAGGGTCTACAGTGTAGTTTATGTTGGTATCAGTTAGGGATCATTAGCAATGTGCATGCAGGATTCAGAGGGTATTAAGGGGAACAAGAGCAGAGGGAGTGCTTACCACTTGATCACTTAATGATTTCCTCTTATCCCAGAGTTAGAACTACTCCCCAAACACTGAATGCTACATGGATTTTCAGGTGGAGACAAAAGAGATTAGGAACCTTGATTGGTCAAGGTTAGGCTTGTGGTGATAATAACAAATGTTTATGCTACCTTGAAGTTTATAAAGCAATTTTTTGTCACGAATACGAGGTAGGCAACGCAAGCCTTGTTATCCCATTTTAATGATGAGAAACTGAGACTCAGTGACCTACCCATAGCCAGATAGTTAACAAGTATCCAGGGCAACGTGGAAGCCATCCTCTTGACTCCTAAGTCCAATGCTCTCTGCAATATGTTAGGTTGCCTCTTGTGATTCCACCATACATTCCCTTCTGATTTCAGGCCAGATTTGGAAAGGAGTTAGGTCAGAGCTGACTGAGGTCAGGAAACCACCCTTCAATCCCCACTATTTTCCCTGGTTCTAGGTGAGGGTGAAGAAGAGCTAGAGGAACATTTTGTGGCTTCATCAGTTGGAGAGATGCTACAGTTGCTGACCATGGAGCACTCACAAGAGGAAGAGGCAGAAGTAGAGGCGGAAGTGGAAGAGGGCACAGCTGTTCGGGACCGCCTCTTTGACCTGGCTTTTTGCTTCAACATTGCCAGCATCCTGGCTTTTTTATGAGGGACATGGAGGCAGGGGTCATTGCCTGGTTTCTGGATGAGGAACTGGACATCTACCTCCGCTTCATGATTGCCTACTGATTTCCCCTGACCCCGGGGTTATCACTCCCCAAGGGACGTCTGCATTGATTCTTGCTAGCTCCCACCCTCTGCTTCTAAACCTTGGCCTCAGATGGCACTTGGGAACTGGAAGGCACCTGTTTCTGAAACCACTGCCTGATTTCTGCCACTAAGCCTCCTGGACATCACCACCCTGGACCAGGGACACCATATCCCACTCCCCACTCTCTCTTCTCTGCCTTGTGATACAGATGCCCAGAGGGTTGGGGATGGGGAGGGAAGCAGCAGCAACAGTAATAAACCCCCCAAAACAAATAGAAGTAGCTCTCTTTGTGTGAACCAAAACCCTAACTCTCCCCTCCCCCGTCACCCTCACATTTGTTTCCATAACTTTTTATCCCTCCAATTCAATGACTGGCCATTAGACATCAACACCCCTCTATTCTTCTGTCCTTTCCTATCTTATTTGTAAGAGGACCCAAATCTGGGCATTGGATTTTTTTTTTTTATAACCACCAATATAGTGCTCTCTTTTTTCTGTCCTGGATTTTGGATATAGAATACAAAATAGTGAAAGACAACAAGGAGAGAGGGTAGAACCCTTCTTTATTTCTGGAAACAGGAAGATGGCGGATACCTTGGTCCTTATAATTAAGTGCTTCATTCATAACCAGGCAGCATCTTCAGGCAGATCACCAGAGTTGGCAGCGTCTACCAGGGTTCATAGGGGTACCCCTTGGGCAGTTGAAGTATCTGGCAAAGGTTGGGGTAATGCTAAGGGGCCCATGGACTCGAAGAATAGGAGGGCTGTGAAGGTCTTGAGCATGCTGAGGGTTGGGACTGCCACACACAACCTGGGAGGAAGAAGTCATCCAGGTCAAAATGGAGTGGGCAGCAGGCCTAAGTTAAAGGGTCAGATGAATACAGTGAGTGGGTAGGGTGGTCACCGGGTTGAAAATGAGTATTAGTAAGATAACGTTTCAGGGGGCAGAAAGGAGATAAGAAGGCAGAGAGATTGGAATGGACCAGTTCTCATGGTGGAATAGAAAAGGATGGTTATAATTCAAAGGTAGAATAAGATTTGGTGAGAGAAATGTGGTCATCTATGGTAGTGTTAGGAGAATGTTGTAAGGTACCTAAGGTCTGCTGAAGCAAATTCATAAAATGAGATTGGTGGGGTGAGTTTTGTAGAAAATAGTCTATGCTGGTGTGTAGAATGTCTGTAGAGAGATGGATTGTGTTGGCATCATGCCCTATAGCATCTGGGGTGAGTAAAGCATCATTGTTGTTATTGGTGTGTGTGTGTGTGTCTGTCTGTCTGTCTAGGAGGAGGAGGAAGAAATGGGAGATGTCTATTGTAGTGGAGATGTGGTGGGGCTAGAGTCTATGATGAAAGTAATAGTAGGGATCTGTGAGGAAGATTAACACTTTGAGGTAGTGAGGATCCTGGTCTGCAGAAGAAGGGTTATGGTGGGGGAAGTCAGGGCAGAAATCTTGGGAAGAATCTTATGTTGGGAGTTCTGAGAAGCATCTAGGAAGAGAGATTCCAGGCAGAGGAGGCATCTTGGAAAGGGGTTCAGAGAACTAGGGAATTTTAGTTGGGCATGGTAGGGAGAGGTCTGTGTTGAGTGTAGGGACATCTCCCTTACCTGGGCATAGCTTTGATAGAAGAGCTGATAGGGGCTGAGGCCTAATCTAGGCAGAATGGTCTCCCCTTTATGCTTCTGTTGCCACTTTCTGTATGCCTAGAGGTGGTGTTGATGGTAGGGAGGAAAATAGCATTGTGAGATTTAGAGATGGTGAGTCTCAGAGATAGAAGGGAACTCAGAAGCCATGTAGGTCATACTTGAACAAGAGCACTCTCTCTACAATATACCAGGCTAATGCTCAGACTAGAATTCGCTTGAAGAATTCCAATGAGGAGAAATCCACTAGGAAGTTGTTCCTTACATAAAACCTAGATTTGCCCAGTTGTGCCTTTCCCCCATAGTTCTTATTTCTGCCACTAAGCCTCCTGGACATCACCACCCTGGACCAGGGAAACCATATCCCTCTCCCCACTCTCTCTTCTCTGCCTTGTGATAGTCACCCAATGTGGACAAGCAGAAAAGTGGAATTCCCACTTTCATATGATAGCTCTTCAAATTCATGAAAACAACTGTCATGTCCCCACCCCTACACCCAACTTTTCTCTTCTCCAGGCTTACTATCCCCAGTGATCATCATGTGGCATGATCTGACAACTCTTAACCATTCTCTCCAGATTATCAATGCCTTTCCTAAAATAAGAAAGAGAAAAAAACAATACTACTAATTTGGTTTGACCAGAACAGAATGTAGTCCTAGGCATTATGTGCCCCCAAATCACATTCACTTGTTTGACCACCATAGCATACTGTTGATTCACATTAATCATTAGATCATAGCTCACTAAAGCTCCCAGATCATTTTCATTGCTATGTAACCATGCCTCTTCCTCCATCTTGTATTTGTGAAGTAGCTCTTTGTGAATGCAAATGTAAGAACTTATATTTGTCCTTATTAAATTTTGTCCTATTGGTCTTAGCCCATTATCTACCTTGTTAAGAAATTTTGGGTCCCAACTACATCTAGTGTTAGCTATCCCAGCTTTGTGTTGTCTGTTTACTGGATAAACATGCTATCCAGACCTTTAGCCAAGACACTGATTTAAAAAAATTTAGATGGTATAGAGTTGATACCTGTATTTAGGAAATTGAGGACCAGAGGTCACACAGGCAGTAAGTTAAGGAGCCAAGAATCAACTCAGCGTCATAAAACTCCAGAGCCAGTGAGCTTTTGACTACAAGCTTTCTGCAGTGGTTTTTGATTTCCCCATACCTCAGCCTGTATACACCTTGTGAAACTGTCCTTGATGTCTACATGGCCCCTTCCCCTTTTACTCTACATTCATGTACAATCCATAACTACTCTGTTCTAGGTCACTCTACATTTATGTACAACCCATAGTTTCTTTGTCCTCTATTCGGCTCTTACCTCCCCTCCTATGCCTAATTTAGAAAGAGTGGAAATTGAGGCATTGATTAGAGCCGAGAAAGATAAGACTTACAGCTAGTTTGGAAATTGGAGGATGGGGTAGGGAAGCCTAGATGTTGAATGGGAAATAAGATGGCCCAAGATGGCACTGAACTCAATGGGAGTGGGAAGGTTGTACTAAAGGAGGCGTTTTGTAAACAGTGGCCAATGTCCCTTGACAGGTCCAAAGAATTTTATTTTTTGAGGGGGAGGGGATAAGAATCTGAGGGCAATGTAGTGTACTGCTCTAGAGTCAGAGCACCTAGGTTAAAATCTACCTTTGAAACCCAGTGTGTGACACTGGGTGTCACACAGACTTCCTGGGTCTCGCTTTCCTCCTCTGCAAAATGAGGGGTTGGACTGGATAGCTTCTGAAGTCCCTTCTAGCTCTCGATATCTACATCTCTGGAATCCTGCTGGATGTTCCTCCACAGGCAGGAGAGCACAATTACCTTCATTGCAATAAGCAGTGCCCCGATGTCGGCAGCATTCTCCAAAAGGGTGTGGGAGCTATTGAATGTACTCCCAGCTGGCAGTGAGAAGGACTCATAGTGTTGCCGTAAGCAGAGCTGCTCTTCATACAGGGTTGGGATGTCACAGGCTGGGCAGCCCCCTGGAACCACTGTGGTAAGTATAGGAAAATCTTGATAAGTGTGTCTGAAAAGGAAGGGAGTAGGTAGAGGATATCCCAATCTGGACAACACCCAGGACCAGAGATGTAACAAGCATTGGGAGAATGGAGATTTGCCACAAGGTGGCAGGTAAGCAGGTAATCAGGAGATTAAACTTTGTCCTGAGATCGGCCAGGTTTTCTCTCCATGATGACCTTGTCGCTATGCCTCAGCTCACAGTGCTACTCAAGCCCTGTCCTATCTTGTCCCCAAACTCCATGCATAAGAGGTCTGGCTTCTTTTCTTTCCCATCCAAGACTGAACTATCATCTTCTGTCCTCCAATGCTGCTTCTCCAACAAATTGTTCTCTATGACACCATAGCCCCTCTTCAATAGACTCTAAGTTTCTTGAAAGCAGGGGCTATCTTCTACCTTTCTTTGTATCCCCAGTATTTAGTTTGGTGCCTAGCATATAGTAGGCACTTAATATTTTTGACTGACTTACTCCCCCAACCCATGCACAATATTTTCCCCATCCGGTTAAAATAGATATTGCCCTCCAATATTGCAGGGGGGGGGGAGAGTGTGACAAACTCTCCTACCCATCCCCAACCCCCAACCATAAATTTCCAATTCAGCATGTTGGACTCATCAAAGTTCTCCACTGCTTCAGATTCATGGGGCCCTTCCAAACTCATACCCAAAGCTTCCATCCTCCCTCTTGCACCCATCTGTTACCCACAGTACTGGTTGAAGATGTGCATTAATTCATGGGCCATCACACTGCCTGCAGCTCCAAAGTTCACAGCACTAAGAGAGAGGGGGTGTGGTCAGAGAGAAAGGGGGAGCTCACTTACTGACCTCCTCCAAATGCTCTAATTTGTATCTTCCCATTGGCTCCATAACCCATCATGAGTCCTGTGCCTCTTCTCTACACCTCTCCTTCCCTCCTCTCTCAAGGACTTCCTTCTCTAATTCCCTTCTCTTCCTCTAGGACTCCTATCCTTTCCAACAACCTTCCATTTACCTCCCTGTCCCAACAAAATGTCTTCATACCTTGGGTAATCAGAACAGAAGAATGGAGGCTGTAGGAGGCCAGCAGGGAAAACAGCCACATTATCAGACATGGAGTAATAGGCATTGACCTCCCAAGGGGATATCTTCCAACTGGAAGAAGAGGAGCAGAGATGAAAACCCCAAGCCCTACCATTTGTCACACCCCACCCTTAATACCCAAGGTTCAGGAATCTAGCCTCAAACCATTCCTGGCCATCCCACCTTGTCCTTGTTTCTATAAATCTCCAAATTTTCCTCCCCATGGTCCAGAATGAAGGTTTCTCTGACTTACTATCTCTTGCTTATACCTGCGCCTGGAGGGAGGTTCCAGAAAGCCTCTCACAGTTCTCTCTCGGAGGGCTCGGGAACAACTCAGGAATGTCTGAAGGAAACTGGGGCCAAAACTGATCTGAGAGGGTGGGACAAAATAGAGATACACACACTGATGCACCACAGCTGCCCACACAAGCAACCACACTGTAACAGATATACAATCTGATGGCCTTCCAGGGATATGGCAGTCTTCCACAGAGACAAAGGTTCACAAGGATATAGACACAATGATAAAGAAAACTTACCATATCTAGGTCCAGTTTTTTTTTTAAATGTACACTCACAGCTAGATATAAAACCCAAACGAGGTTTCCAGTTCCTTTGCTACCTTGTTTTGCCATAGTATTCCATCATACAGAGCAGGGTCCTTAATCTTTTTTTTCTCTCTGGTCCCCTTTGACAGTCTGGAGGAATCTAGGGACCTATTCTCAGAAAATTGTTTTTAAACACATAGAATACATAGAATTGAAAAGGAAACCACTTTATATTGAAATACATATATACATATACATTAAATGTATGCACACATATGTGTATACAGACATAATGTATAGATATATAAATATATAACATAGTTATATCAATATTACTTATATAGACATACATGTATGTATGTTTATATATGCATACACACATATGTATGTATGTGTGTATGTATGTGTGTATGTATGTGTGTATGTATGTATGTATGTATGTATGTACGTATGTATGTATAAACCTGGGCTATGCTTCCTTTAATAGTGCTTTGACGATAGAGAGTGGTAGAAGGGATATATGAGGGTATGTGAGAGGAATAAGGAAGACATTCTCAGGGAAGCCAGGGAGGTTCAGGATGAAGAGAAAACTAGGAAAAGGGAGAAAACAGAAGGGAGGGGGCAGGAAGGGACTGAGAGTTGATGGGAAGGGGCCTGGGTCAGGGGTGAGGATGAAGAAAGGCAGGATAAGGGACCAGGAAGAATTGGAGATAAGGACAGGAGTCAGATTTACTCACATCCTCATAGTCTTGTGTGGTTGCACCAGGTTTCAGTACCTCCGCTGGGGCCCCCATTTCTACCTTCAGCTGAGATAACTGGGAAAACATGGTAGCATGTCAAGCATTAGATGATGAGGGCCTGGGGAATTCAATGCTACGAGGCAGAAACTTGTCCTAAGTCTTGTATATGTGTCTCTTTAATGACTGTAGAGTGATCCCCCATTAGATTGTGAGCTCTCTAAGGGCAGGAAAAGTCTTTTTCCTTTCTTTGTATCCCCAGAACTTAGCAAATGCTTGGCCCATAGTAGGTACTTAATGTTTATTGATTATATGTATTTTCTTGTGTGTCTGGGAATCAAATCTGTATCACTTGTCCTCTAGTCACTTTGTTCTTTTTGTACCAGTGCAATATCCCCATACTCAGTGACATCCTGTCCCACACTTCCCAACCTGCACTCCAACACCCTTCTCTATTCTTCTCTATGACATACCTTGGTCTGGACTTCTCTCTTGCTTCCTTCATCCATCCAGCGAATCCTCTTCAGATGTCTGCTCAAGGCATTTTTGATCTCAGAGAAAAGTTGAGTGGCCTGGTAATTGGTGTAAAGGCATTGAAGGAGATGAGATAAGCATCAACCCCTAATTCCTACTGATTTACTTTAAATTCCTATTCTTTACTCATTAAATGGGGAAAGACCTCCTGGGAGGTTGAATGGTGATGGAGGCTGTGATGCTTGGGTTATTAGAGTTATCAGGATCATCAGCGGCCTCTGGGAAGAAGGTAAAAAGTAAAGGAGATCCATCAGTCTCCTGATGATGTTTATCCCAAGGTTCCCCTTGAGTATCTTCTCTACTTTCTATGACAGTGAAAAGGAGAAAGTGAGGTATACAATAGATATCACCACTACCCTCAGGGATTGTGCTATCTGATATAGGAGACAAAGTCTTTGCTATAAGAAGTATCTTGTTCAATGGATGAGATACATTCATTAGGAAGTTCAATAGGACTGAGCACACAAAAAGAGATAGACATAACACGAAGAAACGAGGGGAAAATGCCAACAAATACAGTGGCATTTCCAAGGAGAAGTCATTCGCCTTTTCTAACGAATTCTTTGACCAATTCTTTTTTTTTCTACTTCCTCACCATTCAGTGGACCTTGCTGCCATACTCATTCTCTCTGTAGGTAGTATTTTCAATCTCTCCAAGTGTATTGTCCCTTTCCTTTTTACCTTCAGATATTCTGAAGTCTCCCCTATCTTAAAACAATAACAAACTCTTTACTTTTCCATTGCTGCCCCTTTCAATGACCATATGATTGATTCAAATATGTGCTGAGGGATTCAATGAAAAAAATTCCGGGAGAGAGTGGGCTAGGGAAAGAAGGAAAGGGACTGAATCAAGCACACTGGGGAAGGATCCTGTCATACAGCATCTCGGCTGCCATGGCTGAAGGTTTTCTGAACAAACATTGCTCCGAGTGTGGGCTCAAAGAAGGCCCCTGTCTCCTCAATGCATTTCTTCCATCTAGGGATGTTGAATGTCTGTGAAGGAAAGATTGAGGTCAATGACTCTTTCTGGATACTACCTTCCCATCCAAACCCCAGAAAACAGGGTAAACTTATATTTACATAGCCCTCTGTGGTCTATAAATTACTTTCCTTATAATAACCTTGTGAGTTAATTAGCTCAAATATTATCATTTCTCTTTTAAAGATAAAGAGACTAAGACCCAAAGAAGTCAAAAGCTTGTTCAGACTCATATGTCAGAGTTAGACTTTGAACCCAGAACTCCAGGTCCAGCACTATACTATGATGACTCTATCAGATGATCCTTTCAATAGGTGATAGCAACAGTAGGTATAGTATAGAGTCAGCAAATATCAATACTGATTCTCACTTCATTAAAAACAAGAACAAAAAAATAAAATGCTTTCCAATATGGTATTCCTTTTAAAGGACCAATAAGTAATTTTCAATGAATGTACTTTATGACTTGACTTGCATGGATCTTTAGTTCCTCTCTAAGGCAGTGGAGCCATATCGAGGCCACTGCTTTCTTTTGAGATCTATTTATCTTTATTGACTTCTTGTCCATTGGAGGAATGGCTCTTAGTCTTATATACCTATGTTCATTTCAACTAGTTTGTATTTTAGACCTTTATTGAGACTGTTGATGCAAAGATTTTATCCCTCCCCATTTCATAGCCTCCCTTCTTTTCCTAGTTACATTGATTTTCTTCATGCAGAAAAGCTTTTTGATTTCATGTATTCAAAATTATTTAGGTTTTGTGATGATGAGGCACTTGTTTCTAAGATGAATTGCACTGTTAGCCAGGAATTTCAGAGTAAGAGTATAGTCATAGAGACTCTCTGAAACTGTTCCTCACCCCACACAAATATTTGTTCTTCAGTAGCAGATGTACAGGCCTTCTACAAGAGAGGAGAACTAATCCATGATATCCCAAAGGAAATGCTTTCAAACAAATTATAGAACCTCCACTGAGTTCACATTGGCCACAGTGACATGGTGGTGACTTTGATGACCATAAAGCCTTGGAAACTCAATGATGTCAGGGAAGAAAGAGCACCCCCTTCCAATTTACAGTACAGATCACACTTCAATAACCCAAGTAAGCCTTCTTATTCATTTAGCACAAACTTCTATTTGCTTCTCATATCGATCAGGATATCCACCACAAACATCTAGGAACTGGAAGCTAATGATAACTGACATTTATATAGCTTCCTAAGATTTGCAAAGGGTTTTACATATATTTTCTCTTTTGAGCCTTGCAGCCCAAATCCCTACCTGTGTAAGGTAGGTGCTATGTGTATTGTTGTCATTCCCATTTTGCAAATGAATAAACTGAAGTTTAGATAAGTTAAATGACTTGCAGATGGTCACAAATGTCAGAAGTGGAATTTGAAGCTGGATCTTCCTAACTTCAGATTCAACCATCGATCCACTCAACCATGCTGCCTCACAATATGGAGCAACTTAACGAATTTTCAAGTGAATGATGAATCCGATATGAAGGCCTATTTCCCATCAGCCTTCTAGTCTAATAACTAATGTCTAAGTTTGAATGTCTAAAACTAATGACTAAGCTTTGGGTCCAGTTTCATATGCCATGGAATGGTGCTCTGACAACTCCAGGATCATAGAGAAGGGCTACCTGATCTCATTGGTTGTAGTATTTTAAACCTAGATAATCAATATGGGATTGGAAAAGCACAGCTCAACACAAGGGTGGGGAGAGAGTGTCTGGTGACTCTTTAATAGGAGTCCACACCTAGCAGTGTCTCCTCCTCCAAATGGCCCTCAGCTCTCAGGTGAATTCCATTATGCCTGTAAATACCCTTCTTCAGGTAGTTCAAGATAAAGAAAAGAGCTCAGGACTTGAAATATAAAGACCTAGGTTTGAGTCCTGGGTCCACGGCTTACTAGCTATGTAAGGATAGGGAAATACCTTTTGAACATCAATTTTCTGATCTGCAAAATACATATAATGATAACTGCCTACTTCACAGGATTGTGGCAAGTCAGTAAATTTGTAAAGGACCAAGTCCTGTGGAGATGTATATACTATTATTATTTCCTGACTTGTTCATTTCCATTGATGGTGGTGGTGGTGGTGGTGGTGATGAGGAATACAATCTTGACCCCTTTCATTCAGGATGAATGACTTTGCTGACTTGCTGTGAAGCGATGAGCCTGGGCTTAGAGCAAGGGACTCAGGGATGCCTGGGTCTGTTAGGGGTTCAGTCTCTAACATTTGGTAACATTTAATCGCTGTGGGATTATTGATAGGATCACATACCATGACTAAAGGTCCCTCCTCCAGCTGTCATTTGCTTTTTTGCCCAAGGCATCAGTTTTCCTTTCAAATTTCATCATGCTACTCCTGCTAAAGTAATTTGAAGGTTCCCACCCTCACCAACCCAGACAGGGGGGGTTATATCTAATGTTTCCTCACAATGGGAGACTGTCCTGCCAGCTCCTGAAGCTTCTGGCTCAGATTCCTCTGTGCATTCTGGAAGTGACTATCTAAGGCAGGGACGAGCGTTGAGACCAGCCCTAGGATCATGTGGCTTTGAAGATAGTCTCTGGAGAAAGAAAACATGTATGCAAGGAGTATATGGGGCAGCTAGGTGGTAGAGTGGATAGAGTACCTGGCCTAGAGTCAGGAAGACTCATCTTCTTGAGCTCAAATCTGGCCTCAGAAACTTACTAGCCATGTGACCCTGAGCAAATCACTTAATCCTGTGTGCCTCAGTTCCTCATCTGTGAAATGAGCTGGAGAAGGAAATGGCAAACCACTCCAATATCTTTGCCAAGAAAACCCTACTAGAGGTCACAAAGAGTCAGGCATGACTGCAACAACTGAACAACACAACATGCAGGAAAATACAGGATAAAGGGGGCATAAGGGATAATCTAGTCCACTTCCCTTAATTTTCAGATGAGGAAGCTGAGGTCCATAGAAAGAAGACTAGACCAAGGTGACACAGATAAGAATGAGTGTCAGAGCTGACTCTGGAGCCAAACTTAGAGTCAATATTTTGACTTCACATCCAGTACTGGAAAGGAAAGATATAGGTGGGTGGGTAGGAGCAAACTAGTTACACGTCTTCTTAAGTACCCCTGTGGCCAGGATGATTCTATGTAAATGACTGTTTAAATATGGAAACCAAGAGTTATACCAGTGTTAGAATGGTGGACTGGAGTAGGTAGCAGGCACAAAAATAAATCAGAAACAAGGAGGGATCTAGATATCCAGGTAGGAGAGAAAGAATAGAAAGGAAAAGAAGAGAGGGAGTGAGGCCTTCAGTAGACTCATAGAATGTTAGAACCCAAAGGGACTTTAGAGGTCATCTAGTGAGATTACTTTATTTTACAGTTGAGGAAAGTGAGGTCCAGTGGGGTTAAGAGGCTTGCCTTTGGGCCCACAGGTAGTAAATTTCAGAGATAAGACTTGAAGCAAAGTCTGTCAGACAACAAATCCATATTTTCCCCACTATATCATGGTAAGAATCAGGTTGGACTGTCCCTCCTACAAATCAGCAAGATTAGATCTAACTAGGTCTACAGCTCAGCTACAATTATGAACAGCACAAGAAGTACTATAGTAATCTGCTGTTTCCTGGATGGGTAGAGAAACTTGGTGGAGGTGGGGGGAATTCAGTGAAGGAAAGTAGTTAAGGAAAAAAAAAAAAGCAGGGCTAGGGCTGAATAGAGAAGACAAATTCTCAGACAGCCAGGGAGAAAAGGGTTTAGGAAGGTAAGAAATGGGCTGGAATAAATGAAAGAAATAAAGAAAGAAAGAAAGAAAGAAAGAAAGAAAGAAAGAAAGAAAGAAAGAAAGAAAGAAAGAGCGTGTTTTGAGAATGTGCTATGTGCCAAGGACTGTACTAAAGGCAGGAGATAGAAAGACAAAAGCAAAAACAGTCTCTTCCCTCAAGAGGCTTACATTCTGATGAAGGAGACAACACCCTTAGCAGAATGGTGAGCAGAAAGACACTTTGGTTCCAAGTTGAGGGGCCCCTGGAGAATAGTTTGGCACATCCTTTACAGGAACAATGGCAGAATTTATTTCATCAGGTTCCAGAATGGGAGATAGGGGTAGAGAGTAATGAAGGGAAAAGATATATAAGAATCAGCAAGATTACTGGTGATTTGGTGCTAGAATCAGGTGCACCCAAAGTCAAGGAGGAATACGGTACAACAGAAATAGTGTTGGATTTCATCACAAGGCCTGAGTTTGAATTCCAGCTTGGACAAGTCAACTTCTCTGGGCTCCATTTTCCCAATCTCTAAAATGAAAGGATTGGTTTAGATGACCTGTGAGGTTCTTTCCAGCTCTAAATCTGTGATTCTATGTGGTTTCTAAGTAACACTCCTTTGTTCTTTCACGAGTTTTTGGTCTCTGCCTACCCGAGTAAAAGCAGTCTGCTTATATAGTCTCAAATCTGGATTAAATTGTTTGGGTTGCCTTCAAGGCTGGCATAAATGATGCATGTCACTGTGGATAACTTACTAAAAATGAGGGGTTATTGGAGAGAGAAGACAACTACTTCCTGGAGAACACAGTGCCTGGAAGGAGCCCCAGAATCCTCAGGTAGTAGCAACAGAAGTGACAGTGAAGCCAGATAGCCTGATCCTAGAATTTCTTCAGCCTTCCCCCACACCATCAGCCTCCCCAGCATATTCCCCATTGTTATTGTTCAGTTGTTTCAGTCATGATGGACTGTTTGTGACCCCATTTGGGACTATCTTGACAAAGATACTGGAGTGGTTCGCCATTTCCTTCTCCAACTCATTTTACAGATGAGGAAACTGAGGCAAACAGGCCTAAGTAACCTGCCCAGAATCACACAGCTAGTGTCTGAGACCAGATTTGAACTCAGATCTTCCTGACTCCAGGCCCAGAGCTTGGTCCACTTCACCACCTAGCTGCCCATACATTCAGGAAGTTGGACATCCTAAAGCTATTTACCCCTGGGTCCTCCCACCCAACCTTTTCATTACACAGTGTTCCCCATCCCTATCTAAAAGAGTTGCATGAAGATCAAATGAAATAATGTATGTGAAGCATTTTTCAAAGAAAGCCTTCTATTAATGCTAGCTATTATTTTTATATCTAATACCTGAATACCCATATCATTTGTGTTCCCCAAGTCCTCTTATGCTACATTGACTGTACTCACTTCTATCTCTTATGGGCTTCTGTGTCCCTCCTCCCTCCTCTAGATTCCTCCAGCATCTTCATTCATCCTTCTCTGTGCTTCCCATCCTTCTCTGCATTCCAAATTCTCTCCTGTGCCTCCTGAATTCCTCCTTACTCCCTATGTCAGATATTTTTGCTCAACCCCACCTCATGCATACCTGTATCCATCCTTTGGCATCTGTCCTATCACGTTGGACATGCCTCTTATGTATTCCAAATCGTGAACAATGATGGGCTGAGAGGGGCTGAGGATCATTGGGGAGAAGATTGCCCGCAAACAAGGCAGCCAGTCAATGGAAGGGGCCACTTCCTTGAGGGGCACACAGAAGGCATTAGGTATAAGAAGAGGACTGGTCATGTAGGAGGTTTCTATTTAGGACTGGTGTAATGGGGAAAAGGTATTATATCTAGGGTGGTAGAAGAGACTCTTGGGGAACTAGGGAAGGAATAGAGACAGTTGAGTAAGGGCAACAGATGGGTTGTTATGGGATGGTCTAGGTTAGGAGAAAAGATTAAGGGAACAGAGGGTTCTGAGGGAAATTATAAATGAAATTCAGAAGACTTTGGTGAAAGGGAGAGCCCAAAATGTAGGTGCACTATCCCTGTCCCAGGATCCAGGCACCTGCAACTGGGCAATGGTAGTCTCTTGGAAGAGCTTGCCCTCTCTCTTCCTCTGGTCCGGGGACTTTGAAGCCAGAAGGAGATTTGAAGTTATGGTCATGGATATAGAGGCATGCTCCAACACAACCTTTTGATCTCCCCCCAGCAAGGTTCCTAGTTGCTGCAGGTATGACAGATATGCCCTCAATATCTGAGGATGAGAAACAGCTTTAGACATGATTCCTGTCATCCCTCCATCTCTTTTTTTTTTTTTGGCATGGAATCCTAAGTGCATAAGCCAGTGTCCCCTCTTCCCCCACTTCTGCCCCCAAGATACTTCCATACCTCAGGGTAGTTCTTCTGAACAGGTCGAAAAGGTATCTGAAACTCCGGTTGGTCAATCTGGACACAAGAAACACTAGAGAGAAATGGGGTATATGGGGAGGGAGGAAAGGAAAGAGGGGATAGATATGGAGGAGACAGTAGGGTACTAGGGAAAGAAAGTCAATACAGACAAGAACCTACATTGGGCATTAAAGGTATATGGGATATATGTGAGACAGAAGGGGAGATAGAAGTAGAGAAAAAAGGCAAGACAGTAATAGGGGCAATGAGGCTTGAGGTCTAGTCTCTAAAACTGGAGAAATTGGAGAGGCAGTTACAATGGGAAAGATGTTCCAGCTCCTCTCAAAAGATAGTAATAGCAACTCACATTTATACAGAACTGCAAGATTTACAGAGTGAAAACCCTTTCCTCAGAGCAACCCTACAAAGTAGGGTATCATAAATATTGGGTTTATTTTTCAACACAAATATTGTTATCCTCACTTTATAGATGAAGTACCTGATGCTCACAGAGGTTGGGACTGGCCCGAGGTTATAAGGAGTTACTCTTGGAGCTGGGATTTGAGCCCAAGTTTCCTGACTCCAAGTTCAACACTCTTTCCAACATTTTACATTTATCCTACCCTCTATGCCCTGGATTCCATTCTAAGGGACCTCTCTCCCACATTTATACTCTGTCTCCAGCATCTTCAGCCCTCTTTACTGGCTCCTTCTTTAGCTTAAAACATACACAAGTCTTCCCATATCTTGAAGAAGAATACAAAGGAAAAAAAAATCCTTCTGCTACCTACTATCCTATTCCTTCTGCTTCAAACTTTTCAATAATCTCTGTGTGTTGCCTCCATTTTCTTATCAGTTACTACCAGTGACCTTGGGCAAGTCACTTAACATTCTAAGGCCTCAGTTTCCCCAACTGTAAAAAGGAAGGAATTGGAATAGATGGCCTCTAAAACACTTTCTAGACCTAACTTTATGATTTAGTCTAACATCTTAATTTTACTAATGGGGAAACCAAGGCTCACAGATTTGGTCAAGGTCACAGAAACAGTGTATAGCAAAAAGGGGATTTGAACCCAGGTCTTCTAATTTCCGATCCAGTGCTCTTTCTACTATATCATGATATTTTCGGCCTATTCAACACAATTTAGCAACTATGCAACATTTCATATTGTTTATTATTTTTTCACATTCATCTCGTAATGCTCATTGTTCTGGAAAATTCTTGAGGGTCCAGACAAAACATTATTTTTCTTTTGCATTTCATGAATACTTTGTGTTTTATCAAAGTGCTAAAACACAGTGTTCATAAATACTGATTGACTGATTAAAAAACTAAGGTCATTCTGGGTTCTGGGGAGGAAGGCAGAGAGGCTTATACCATGAGAATGATCCTTTACAGTATATTGCCTTTCCCATTTCCTATCCTTAGGACTCTCTGGGTTCTAGGATCTTTCAGATGGGGCTCCTCGCATTGCTCATTTATGCTGTGCTGCCCCTCCCACTAGTAACCCCTTTCCCTTCCTCCTAGATGACAGGTAGGGAGTGAAGAACATAGGCAAGCCTGAAGTGACAGTGGAGACATCTGCATGTGTGAGACTCACCTGAATGACAGGCACGTGTGGAGGACTTGGCTGAGGCCTCAGGTAAGCTTTGAAGAATGGGAAATTGCCATATTGACTCATTAACAGCTTCAAAGTATGGTTAAAATCAGGAAGTGTCCGGTTACCTGAGATATGCCAGCCCCCCAGCTGTGGTGAAGGGAGACAGAACTCAGCATGATCGACATCCGTTGTCCAAACTATCTCTGACTCCTCCAGTGTTCAACCTCTGGACTTTTCTCGATGGCCTCATAGGCTCCTGCCACCTTCATCTCCCTCCATGGGCCTCAAGATGTCCACATACACACACATACACACACACATTCACACACAGAGCTATTTATGCCCCTGGATCTTGTACAAGCACCTGATGCTTTGAGGTCTTACCTCCTCAATGACCTGCATAAGGGGCTCTGCCCCTGAAGCATCAATGGCATCTGTATCCATGCAGGCTTTATAGAACCTCACGGTCTTTTCCTCTGCAGAGTCAGGAGGCCAGGGGACTGAGGCCTCTAAAGAGAGAGAGAGACATAAGGAGCAAAGAGATGAAACAAAAAGGAAGAGACAGGTGAGTAAGAGGATATGGATGGAAGCAGAGATAATACAAAGAAAAAAGAAATGAAGAGGCAGAGAAGGGGGGGAAATGAGGGACTAACCCAACTGGTGTGAGTGATAGGACTGGAGAAGATTGAAAAAGAGGTACTATGGAAAAGGGAGATGAGGTAGACTGGCAGTCAGGTGAATGGGGCAGGGAGAAAAGTAGTGAAACTAAGAGAAAGCTTAAGAGGGTAGAAGATGGGAAGCAGGAGGGGATGGAAAAGGAGAGAAAAGATGGAGATGGGATGAATAAGACATTAGAGGGACTGAGGAGAGTACTGAAAAGAGGTAGGTGATGAGACACAAGAGAGAAGAGGAAGAAAGTCAAAACCATTCTTTACCACTATCTTTACCTGGATTTTCCTAATTACCATGGCATAATAGTAGGTAGCATTTATACTGGGCTTTAAAGTGTGTGAAACACTTTAATTGTGTTATCTCATTTACGGAAAAACCATTGTTTTTGGTTAACAGTTCTAATTTCTAATTAGGTCCATCAATCGATCTTTCTAAATTTTATCATCTGCTAACCCTCCCTGCCCAGCATAAAGGCTACTTCAGTTGGCAGAAAAGGAAGAGTTGGAAGAGGAGAAAATTGGGAAATAAAAGGGAGTTTCAGGAAGGAATAAGTAGGGGTAGGAGGACTTGGGAAAGAGTGGAATGAATTGGAAAAGCTAAGATAGTTGGAAGAGCGGAAAGGGCACCAAGCCAATAGAAGGGAGCTGGAGATCAAATACATGGAGAGATTAGAAACATACAGGTGAGAGGTGAGAGGTAGAAACTGGTGGAGCTGGGGATCTGGTAGATATAGGAGGACTCGAAGGAGGCAAAAAGAGAAGAGGAAAGGAGTAACTGAAAGAACTGAAACTCAAATGGTAGAAAAGTAGGGCAGGAGCCTCCCAGCAATAAAGATGTATAGCAGGCATCCACACAGTCACTCACAGTTATGTTCTTACATGTAGTTGGAGACAATTATCTCATGACTACTCAATCATACAGACCTATCACCAAACTGGCACGTGTATATCTTGTCCCTCACTCTGCTTACCCAATATCCTCCGTAGTTGGTTCTGGTTCTTCTCTTTTAGAACTTGAAGCATGTCCCTGGACTCACTGGCCCACGTCAAGTTTCCACAGACAAAGCTGTAGAAGTCTGTGCAGGGCAGGGCACTGGCATTTCCCATGGTCAGATAACTTGCTACAAGCTCCAGACACACAGGGCTCTTACAGGGGCCTGTGGGTATAGGATGACTGCTGGAGAAGATAGAGAGGGATAGGGACTCCCTCCCCAAGGTCACCTGAAGAAACAAGGGCAGAATCCAAGGCCATGAGTAAAATCACACAGGGCACTGGATGAACTAGAAACAGATGACTGATAGCTGGGGTTTGGAGACTAGGACAAGCGTAGGGGACTAATAGGGTGACAGGGGTTAGCAATCCGTGGGAAGGAGAATGGATGAGAGAGGCATCAGGGCATTGCAATGGAAGTCACAGGAACTGGAAGCAGATGTCTTCAGGATAGGAAAGGAAACGTTAAATAGAGGGCTGGGGTGGGGGTGGGTGGAGGCCTAAAGGGTCATGTGTCTTGCATACGGGGTCCACAGCTGTGGAAGGTGTAGAACAGGAGCACAGAAAAGATGAGGATCAGGCTGAGTAGCAGGGTACTTATCAGTCCCCATCTCAGCAAGGCCCTACGATAACTCCATTCTTCTCTGGATCCCTGTGGGGGGAAAAAAAACCCTCAAAATTAAGAGACATCAAGACCAAATGAGAAATATACAGAGACAAAGTAGGGTAAGGGATGGGGCCAGGAGGGAGGGAAGAGACAGAGAAGAAGCAATAGTGAAAGCTTTTTGTATGTTGTAAGCACTTAGGAAATGGCTACTGAATAGGGAGACTGATATAATACAGAGAGAGAAAAAAGAAAAAGGTTGGGAAGCATTAGTGTCAGAACAACTTCATATGGGTGTGGTAACTTTCCCTCCCCTCCCCCTCACCAAAATCTATACTGCTTGAAACTGAAGTTGGGAAATGTAACTTAATGCTAAAGAGGATGGGAGATTGACTTGTTCTGGGAGAGAGAATCCCAGAATACAGAGAGAAAAGAGACAGGAGGGTGGTGAATATGAGATCATCTAATCCAATCTTTCATTTATAGGTGAAGCAATTGAGGTTAAGAGAGATGGGCTTATTTGCCTCAGTATCCTGACTCCTAGTTCAGTACTCTCTTCACTAAACCAAGCTGCTTTTATTTCTTCTCCCTAACAACCCCATAGGACAGGTAGGATTTGGATAGGATTTCAAGTCATCTTAGGCCCAAATCTAGATGAACTCAAATAGAGGGAAGCTACCAGTCTCTCTCTCTTGTCTTGGAAAATTGTGGAGGAATTGGAGGATGGTGAAGTATGGAAACAGAAAAGCCTCTGGATTGAGGGAGACTGCAAGAGGAAAGAAAAGGAAAGGGAAGAGGAAGAGAGGCAAAAGACGAAAAACTCAGAATGGGAAACTGAAGAGGAGAAGGTAGAAGGGCAGTCCCTTACCTGCTGGGTCCAGACAGTCTCCATTCTGCTTCTAGTTTGTCCCAGGGTAGTGTTACCCTCTACTTCTTCTGGTCTCCACCCTCCCTGAATGGGTGTGGGAGGAGGGAGGAGCTGGCTTAGGAAATGGGGGAGAAAAACAAGGCTTCACTTAGGACACAAATCATCTCCTCATTACACTGCTACCCTGAGCCCTCTGACAGTGCCTTCACACGGTGTTCCAGTGTGTGTTCCATTAAACATTCTTGTGTGCTCTCCCCCCACTTACAATACTTAAGTCTATTTTCCCTCTCCCACTACCAACCATCTCCTGATCCCACCAGTCTCCTCGTTCAAGGACCCTTCTTTCATTTTTCAATGCCTTGAATTCCTTCTCCCCGGGCCAAGTATCTCTGTCCCATGATGCTGAAGTCTGGCCTTTTCCCTTTCCCCAAATGTCTTTTTCTCTATTTCATAGTCCCTGTCCTGGGTCTTTGTCTCCTATTCTTGCCTCTTTTTCTCCATTTTGCTGAGTTTGTGATCTGATATTGAAGAAACAACCCCTTACACTTCTCTTTCCCCTGCAACTTCTGTTTCAAGAAAGGGACACCCCTGCCCTTCCCCCACCTCCACTCCTAGGCTCCCTGGAGGTCTGTTTATCTGTGGGCCTCCTCCTTCCTTATCTCAGGTTCCCAGGGAGAAACTAAGAAAAGCTCCCCTCAAAACTCTTGTCATTTAGACTGTTTTTCTTTCCTCCCTCCCACCAGCCCTTCTCATTCTTAGTGAATCCTCCATCTCTTTTCTCTATTCTATTCAACTTATGCCTGGGAGGTTCTTCAAAAAGTTTACTTAAGTTTCGGTCTCTGTCTCATGCTCTCCTACCGCATGTGAAAAAAAAAAAGCCTATTTAGGATAGGAGAGAAGGAGGGCTATGACTAGAAAGACTATTCAATTTGGACTCAGAGGCCTCAAACTCAAAGCCTAGTCCACTTGTTTACTTCTGGTGTCACCTTGCACAGATCACTTTCTCTTTCTGGGCTTCGACTTTTTCAACTCAAAATTGAGATAGTTGAACTAGATGGTTTTTTATGGATCTGGTCTAGCCAGCTCGAAGTCTCAGAACAATAAATCATCAAACATTCACTGAACACCCATTACACACCACCCAAAGTCCAATTGTATCATGGCATGGAGGTGATCCTGGATTCTCCACTGGAATCCTCCAAGCTCTGGAAAGTCCTCCCATAGCAGAAAAAGATAAAGGCTGGAGGCATCTCTCCACCAAAGGCCTCTTTACTTGAACACAAAACCAGTAAGACAAGAGCTAGGGCCAGAAACTCCCTTTGATTGGTCAGTGCCTTTTGAATGCCCCCTCAGTTCTGACTCTATGGCCAGTCAAAGAGATTCGTCTTTACTCTATTGTTAATAGGTCAGAATGGGTTAAGGCGATGCATGCTCCAATGTCCACGCAGACAATTACACCAGTCAAGCACACTGTACATGCTCATAAGGACTGAGATCATTGGCCAGTCTCCCATAAAATGTGTATATCAGTCAATGCTTATTTTGAGAGTCCCTTGGACAGCAAGGGGGTCAAATCAATCAATTAATACTTGAAGAAGTTAATTCAGGCTATTCACTGGAAGCTCAAATAATGAAACTTAAACTACTTTGGCCCCCTAATGAGAAGATAAGACTAATGTTGAGAAAGATTGAAGGAAAAAGGAAAACAGGGTGGCAGGGGATGAGATGGACAGAGCGTGTCATGGAAATAATGAACATGAACATGGACAGAATTCAAGAAATGGTGGAGGATAGAAAGGCCTGGTGTACTATAGTCCATGGGGTCACAGAGAACTGAACACAACTGAGCTACTGCACAGCAGCAACAGCAAAACATTACCTCAAATACTTTTTATAGTCATCAGACAACAAAGTGGCCACATCTGAACTCAAATCTTCCTGGCTCTAGGTCCAGTACTCCTACTATATCACCTAGCAGCTGACTTAAAGCACTTTGTAATTGTAAAGCTCATTTCTAATGAGCTTTCAAATTTACATAATTTAAGGTTTCTAAGGTGTCATCCTCCCAACTACTCTGTATGGTAGGCAGTAAATACATTATTATGTCTATTTTATAGATGAGAAAACTAAGATTTAGTGAGGTTAAAGGTTGTACAAACCAGCAATTGTACCATGTGGCAGAACCGTGATTTGAATGTAGGTTTCCTGCCTCATCTAGCTGCCTACCAAACAAGTGAAGTATAAAGTTATTGGGTGGAGCACCAGTACATTAGTGGATCAGAAAGAAAAAAAAACCTCACACACAGGAGAAAGTACAGGTTGAACTCTGAAGGAAAATAGGAATTATAAGAAGTAGAAGTGAGGAGATGGGATATTCTAGGCATGGGGTTCAGCCACTGCAAAAGTAAGGAAGATGGGAATGAGAATGAAGGAACAAACAGAAGAATTCAGACACAAAAATATCAGGGGCCAAAAGAAAAAAAAACAGCAAAAACATCGGAAGAAAATTGTAATCATACAAAACCAGCAAAAGTACCAGTAAAGAAATAAGACTTTTTGGAGGCAAAAAAAAAGCTAAAAGCAATAATTAATTAAAAGAAGAAATGAAATTAGCAAAAAATGTTATAGGATTAAAAAAAAGTAACTGAGTCTATCCTATAGTCACAAGATTATAATGAAACTCAGCAGTCTAAAAATGTCCATGGGAAATAGGAACAAAATAACAGGAACTGCTTTTTAAAATGAGAATTATTTTCACTAGAAGACAGATTGGTGGGAAAAAAGAAATAGCAAAAAAAAAAGCTCAGAAATTGTAGAAAGTGTTTTAAACGTATTATCATATTAGTTGTCACAACAACAGTGAGGTATGCAGTGCAAGTGTTAGGACTCATAGTCCATATGAATTGTATTGGGGGGGGGAAACCATGTGGCCCTCTAGGTCCTCAAGTATGGCCCTTTGACTGAATCCAAACCTCACACAACAAATTCCCTTAATAAAAAAGATTTGTTCTGTGAAATTTGGATTCAGTCAGAGGGCTGTACTTGAAGACCTAGAGGGCCACATGTGGCCTCGAGGCTACAGGGTCCCCACCTCTGGTATAGATCAATCAACCAGTGTTTATTAAGCACCTACTATGTTCCAGGAATTGGACTAAATCGTGAAGATACAAAGAAAGTTAAAAAAGAAAAAAATTCCTGATTTCAAGAAGCTCTGAGTCCAATAGATAGAAAATATGAAAACAATTATATATAAACATTATGTGTGTGTGTGTGTGTGTGTGTGTGTGTGTGTGTGTGTGTGTGTAACTTTAGCTGAGAATTGAAAGAAGTCAGGGAAGGTAGGAGGGGAAGATGACTAGTCAGTTAAAACACTGAGTTGGGAGATGAATTGTCCAATATGAATACCAAGGAACAGCAAGGAGGCCAATGCCCCTGGATCTCACAGTACATGGTAGAGAATCATGTGTAAGAAGTCTGGAAAGGTAGGAAAGTCTAGGTTATCGAGGGCTTTACAAGCCAAAAGGTGGATTTTACATTTGATGTAGGAGGTAATAGGAGGACACTATAGCTTACTGAATTGGGGCAGTGAGGTAGGGGAGTAATATGGTTAGACCTGTGTTTTAGGAAGATAAAATAGACAGCTAGGTGGAAGGTGGACTGGTGTGGTCTGGGAGACCAACCAGTAGGTTATTATAATAGTCCAGTGTGAAGTAATAAAGGCCTGCACCAGGGTGGGGGCAAAAGTCAGGGAAGAAAGGGGAGCATATAGCAGACATGGTTTCTATGAAAGTAGAAACAACAGGACTTCACAACTAATTGATTATGAGGGCTGAGAGCAAGTAATAAGTGGAGGATGACACCTCCGTTGTGAGGGTGGGTGGGAAGAATGTTAGAGGTCATTAAATCTAACCCTGTCATTTTACAGCTGAGGAAACTGAGAGCCAATGAGCTTAGTTGTTTTATCCAAAGCCATAATACTCAAGCCAAGCTTCCTGAAGGCAGGGACTTGTCACTTTTCATTGTTTTATCCCCAGCACCCATTCCTAGGGCCTTGCACATAGTAGATATTTCAATTTTTTTTTTAAACTAAGCTGAAAGACTTCCTGTCCATCATTGAAATGGCTTCCCTTGTGAGGCAAGAGCTCCTTGTCACTGGAAATGTGCAAGCAGAAGTTGAATTTCAATTTGCAGAAAGAGTGATGTTAGAATTTCCATGTTGGATAGGAAACTGGATTTAATGATGTCTAAAGTCCTTTTTCAGCTCTATAAATCTATGATTCTAAGGCTGAATCCCTAGAAGGGGGATTCTGGGATGAGAACAGAGATAAAGACACATCAGCTAGCTCCTTATTTATTCAGAGCTAATAGCTGGCATTTATTAGGAATTTAGAAAGCACTCTACCTACCAAAACCAGTATTTAAAAAGAATGACACAAAGCAGGGAAACATAGCTAAGATGCTTTAATAATAATATTTTATTAATGTTTAATATTTAATGATAATTCACATCTATGTAGCACATGGGGAATAACAACTCAGTGAGTACCAGTATCATTATCTCCATTTCATGGAGGAGGAAATCAAAGTTCTGAGAGGTTAATTAAAAGGATCACGATCACAAAGCTCATAATTGTCTGAGGCAGGATTTAATCCCAAGTTTCTCAATTCTAAGGGCATTACTCTGTTATACCATATAGTCTTTCCATTTTTAGCAACATATTTGATGAAGTCTAATATATGGACAAGCTGGGTGGATGATGACTAGATGACAATGAAATTAGGTAGATTCAGAATTGAGTGATCAAACCTCAAAGTTGTTATTAATGGGTCTATGACAACTCAGAAGGAGTGCTCAGAATGGTACAGCAGAAAGAGAAGTGAAATTGGAGAAAAAAGAAGACATAGAGCTAAGAGGGAGAGCTAACACACTGGATGACAGCTACAGGTAAAAAAAAAAATCTTCATAGGCTAGAAGGGGGAGCCAAATCCAATAAGATAACTTCAATAAGGGTAAATTACATTTCCTGTGTCCATGGGAGGGGCCTGGAGAAGGAGGAGGAAAAGAAAGAAATTCTCAAGCTGAATAAGGATAAGAAAATCATGTAGGTGATTGGGAGGGGATTGCACTAGTAAATTAGGTTAGAGGTTAAAATTGGGGAAGAAAAAATTGGGAGAAGCTAGAGAATATTTAAAGAGCAAACTCCATGCCTAGATACTGATCCAGATACTACTTCTAGATTTTAAGGGAATCTAGATAAAGTATAATTAATGAGGATATAAAAAGATTGAGGGGGACCTGAAAAGACTAAGCAGTACAACCTGAATAGACTTAAGAAGAATGGGAGAAGGTAATCAGCAAGACAAGCCAGTTTGAGTAAAAACATGTGAGACAATTGGAAGGTTAAGGAAATTGAATGAAATGGTGGGTGGTACAAAACCATGAAAAATATAGGAGATTGATATAAGGTTGAAGAGGGGGTGGACGTAGCTATGCCTATGGAGATG